CCCGGGGCCCGAAACTGGGCGCTGACCTTGTCGCGCTCGACGCTCTGCGCGCCAGAGTGACGGTGGGCCCGGCGCTGGTCCCAGAAATCCGCGAGGACCTCCGACAGTTTGTGCTCCAGCCTGGGGCATGCATGCGCTTCGGTCTTTGAGCGTACTTTGACCTTTCCGCCGGTGCTCTGACGATCGCCTGCCGCCAGACGTGGTTGGTCTAGTGTTCGATGGTGCGCTCGATGGAGACAGATGTTACGCCGGTTTCTGTGATGGTTTGCGCGGACCCTTTTCTCGAAAAGTAAAACACACCAGAAAGATACCCTTCTGTTGGCGTTCCGCGCGGATGTCTTGGATCTGTGCTGGACCCACCCTGCGGCGCCTTCGGCGCCGCCCTGGCGCGCTCCGCGCGCCAGGGAAAGGGGGTCCAGCGCAGATCCACGAAGTCCGCGCGGAGCGCCAACAGTTTATGTATATGGCGTTGTTTCTTCTTTAATGTTCTCCCCTCCACAGCTGGACCGACGACAATGCTGGCGACAATCGTGGCCGCTGCTCTTCTCGGGCTTGCGGCAATGGGGGGTCGCCCAAAAGGGGGGGGAAGAACAGGCCCAAATGGGGGGGTGACCAAGGGGCCATAAAGGGCCCCTTCCTCATCCCCAATTTGGATTACCCTCCGTTGCCATCCGTCCGATCTTCGACTGGGCCTCAAAATGACAAAGCCGCGCGGGCCTCTGACACTTGACCCTTCCATGGTGCGCTTTATGGAAACAAATGTTACAGTCAACCCGCATAGAAAGGATGGGCAACCTTCCCAAGGATACCCTTGCATCCTTGCCTCCTCGGTACATCCTTGGCCACTTTCGTCAGCCGCGCCCCGCTCGAAAAGCTTCGACCTGGGCGTCCAGGACCCCTTGCATCCCTATCGCGCATCCTTATGCTACGGGCCGACTGTATGCTAGTTTCTGTGATGGTCTGCGCGGACCCTTTTCTTCCCTTCACAATCGGACCGACGACAGTGCCGGTGACAGTCGAGGAGCGGCCGCTGCTCTTCAGCTGGGCATCAAGAAAACACAGCCGCGCGGACCTCCGACACTCGGCGGCGAGCGAGGGGATGAAGTGAGCAGGATCACGTCCGAAGTATCAAAGTAAAGTAAAAGGGGCACACGTATAGAAGTAACGTCCCAGGTGGGGGGGGGGGCGGCGATAAAAGTATCTACCAGCCTGGACTCCAGATAGGAGATATGGACTAACGAAGCTAAGCGCTGAGCGAAGCTGCGATGTCATACGCTGCCTCGGCCTGGACCGCAAGCTGTCTAAGCCCTGCTCGGCTGAGTTTCGTGAAGCTCTTCTCAACTATCGATGTGTAACGTTAGGTGGTCGGCGGCAAGCGAGGGGGGAAGTGAGAAGGGGCGGGGCTTCTCAGAAGGCTCGGACGTCCCCCAGCCTTCTGAGAAGTGTTCCAAGCACCACCCCAAGACACAGAACACTTGTCAGAAGGCGATAGGGGCTTCCGAGAAGTCCCGCCGCCTTCCGGGAAGGCCTTCTCTCCTTCTCGCTTCCCCCCCCCTCCCTCGCCGCCGTAGGACCTCTGAGCAGTCCAGCCACCTTCCGAGGAGGCCTCCTCCTTTCGGGTCGGGCGAAAGGGGGGGATTGGGAAAGGGGGGGTTACGAAATCTGCTGCGTGCAGCTGGTTTCGGCCCCACCGAGGGGCCCATTCCTCGATACATGGGCGCCTCTGGCGCCGGGAGGCGCCAGGAAGATCAGCTACGTGAGCTGATTCTCCCCCCCCCCCCCTTTTGCTAGCCCCCCCTTTGCCCGGCCCGATCCTTGCTCGCCGCCGAGGCTCGCTCGCCGCCGAGACGCTCGCTGCTCCTGCCTCGTGCTGCCCCTTCCCGGGGGGGGGGCAGGTCTCCCACGCGGGGGCATGTTGCCGCACGCGCCGCCGGGGGGCCTCCCCGAGGGGGGTCCCTCGGGGAGGCCCTCGGGGGACCCCCCCCGGAGGCCTTCCGAGGGAGGGGGGACCCCCTCGGGGAGGCACCGCGGGCCTGCCCCGAGGGGGGTCCCTCGGGGGGGGTCCCCGAGGGGGATGCCCTCGGGGACGCCCATGCGGGGCATCTCCGCACACGCCGCGGGCCTCCGCGAGGGGGGACCCCCTCGGGGAGGAGTGCCCCTGGAAGGCCCGTCTCTTTCCCCAGGCCTGTCTTTGCCGCCCAGGGGGGTGTTCCGACGGCCCTGGGGCCTGGCGAGGGCCCCCTGAGGCCGACGTCGGCCAAGAGCCTCCCGTCTTGGTTCTGCGACGACGCGACTTGTTGTCTCAGGCAGATCCAAATCAAAGCCTTCCGCCGTTTTTTTTTTTTTTTTTTTTTTTTTTTTGTTTTTTGTTTTTTTTTTGTTTTGGGCGCGAGGGTGTCGAGGGAGAGGCGGTGGACGGTCGGCGTCGGCCTGCCAGGTGCACGTCCACGTCCACGTCCACAAGGACTAGGGCGCTGGCCTCGGGGACCGCGGGGGCCAGCAGAGGGTGGCGTTTCTCTCCCGCGCCAGAGGATCAGGAGGGAGGAGGTGGGGGAGGAGGGGGGAGAGAGTCCAAGAAAGCGGGGAGGGAGAGAGGGCGGGAGAGGGACCAAGAGGGAGTATGGGGGCAGGGGGGTGAGGGTGAGGAGGAGGGGAAGGAGGAGGAGGAGGAGGAGGAGGAGGAGGAGGAGGAGGAGGAGGAGGAGGAGGAGGAGGAGGAGGAGGAGGAGGAGGAGGAGGGAGGAGGTAGGAGGGGGAGGGAGGAGGATGAGAGGAGGGAGGACGGAGGGAGGAGGAGGAGGAGGGCTTCAGAGGAGGATGGGTGGAGTGGGGGAGAGCGGGGAGCGGGGAGTGAGGAGTGAGGAGTGTGGAGTGAGGAGGAGGGAGGAGGGAGGAGGATGGAGGATGAGGAGCGATGAGGAGCGAGGAGGAGCGAGGAGGAGCGAGGAGGAGCGAGGAGGAAGAGGCAGAGGGGGAGGAAAGGATGATGGCCACGGCTTTGGTCCGACTGCAGACACAAGGGCCGCCGCCAGCTCAAAAGGATTGATGAGGATGATACTGAGGATGAGGATGAGGATGATGATGAGGATGCGGATGACGATGGTGATGTTGGTGGTGGTGGTGCTGCTGCAGCTGCTGCTGCTGCTGCTAATGATGATGATGATGATGCTGATGATGATGATGATGATGACGATGATGATGATGATGAAGATGCTGCTGCTGATGATGATGCTGATGATGATGATGCTGATGATGATGATGATGATGGTGATGGTGATGGTGATGGTGAGGATGCTGGTGATGTCAACGACGATAAGGATGATGATGCTGCTGATGCTGCTGTTGATGATGATGATGACGATGGTGGTGGTGATGATGATGGTGGTGATGCTGATGGTAATGACGGTGGTGGTGGTGGTGGTGGTGGCGATGATGCTGCTGTTGATGAGGATGATGATGAGGAGGAGGATGGGGATAAGGACGGTGATGATGATGGTGGTGGTATTGGTGGTGGTGGTGATGGTGATGGTGTTGGCCAAGGAGACGGCGATGGCTATGGCGACGGTGTTGGCGATGGTGGTGCTGGTGGTCATGATGATGACGATGCTGCTGCTGATGCTGCTGATGATGATGATTTTGGTGACGATGACGATGATGATATTGGTGAGGATGATGCTGCTGATGATGGTGGTGATGATGATAATGACAATGATAACGATGATGATGGTGATGATGATGATGATGCTGCTGATGATGATGATGTTTCCCTGAATGAATTGATCGCGTCTCGGGAAGGACGGGTCGGGGAGGGCCGCGTAAGATAGCAGTGCAGGTGCATCCCTCCTCCTGTGACCGTTCCGGAAGACGCTTCCCGGAACATTCTGAAACTTTTCTGCTCTTCTTTCGTGTCCGCTCTAGCTTCTTCTGGCTCGAAGGTCTTCGAGCCAGGTGCTCGCGCGCCCTTCCGCCCTTCCGCGGTGGGAGCTCGCGTCGCGGGCGCACGTTCGCTGGCACCACGGCGAGGCGGTGGTGGCTCGGGCCGCCCTCCTCTCGTACATCGGGGACTTCGGGGTCCTCGACTCCTTCCTGACCAAGCCGCTTGTGGACACCGAGGACGACGCGTCCTTGAGGTACACCAGGAAGTCGGAACGGCTTACCTCCTCCCTCCTCGGTCCCTCCTCCCTCCTCTCCTCCCTCCTCCTCCCTCCTCCTCCTCCTCCTCTTTTTCCTCCTCCTCCTCTTCCTCCTTCTCCTTGTCCTTTCTCCTCTTCCTCGCTCCTCGTCCTCTTTCTCCTCCTCCTCCTCCTCCTCCTCCTTCTCCTTTTCCTTGTCCTTGTCCTTCCTCCTCTATCCTCCTTCTCGTCCTTCCTCCTCCTCCATCCTCCTCATCTTCCTCCTTCTCCGCCGCCTCTTCCTCCTCCTCCTTTTCTTCGTCGTCCTCCTCCATCCTTCCTCCTCCTCTCTCGGCCCGAAGGGCCGCCCCTCGTGGGCCGCAGCCGCCTGGCCGCCCTCTCTTCTCCTCTGCTGCCCGGCGATGGCGAGCCTGGATGAGGAGGACGACCCTTTGGCCGCGGAGGCGGCGCGGCAGCTCCTCGCCGCGGGCCCTGAAGGCGATCGTTTTCTTATTCGGTGTTTTGACGATCGGCGCGGGCCCTCGCCCCCCCCTCATGGAGTAGATCTTGGCCGCTTTGGGCGCCTGTTTCGAGCAGGTGGGATCTCCGCCATAGGACGCACTGTAGTAAACAGTCGCGCTAATGAGCAGAGGTCCGGAGCCAGACCCTCCCCCCTCCTTCCGCCCAATGTCGAAACGCCGAATAAGAACACTTCCACCAGGGGTTTACGTGGACTGCGCGCTTGGGCTCGGCGGCGGCTACGCCCGATGCCTCCTGCGCGGGCTCGGCCAGGCGGGGGCCGCCAGTGGGTTTGGGCAGCCCGGCCCCGGACCCAGACCCCGTCGCGTTGTAAAAAAAATCACGACGAGAGGTTTTTCGCTATTTTCGGCCTCCTGGGGCCCTCAGTTGGCCCGTGGACCGTCAACAAAACGACTCAGGATGAAAAGCCAGTCCCAGGGAAAGGGTCCAGACCCCTGGGGGTCGACATTGTGAAACAATCACGACGCCGGGGGTCTGGGGACATGCCTGGAGATCGAGGATCGAGAGGTGGGAGATTGATCATTCATATTGTTATGTTGCTGTTGCTGTTGTTGTTGTTGTTGTTGTTGTTGTTGTTGTTGTTGTTGTTGTTGTTGTCGTTGTCGTTGTCGTTGTCGTTGTCGTTGCTGCTGTTGTTGTTGTTGTCGTTGTTGTTTTCGTTGTCGTTGTCGTTGCCGTTGCCGTTGTCGTTGTCGTTGTTGCTGCTGCTGTTGCTGCTGTTGTCGTTGTTGTTGTTGTTGTTGTTGTTGTTGTTGCTGCAATGGTTGTCGTTGTTGCTGCTGCTGTTGCTGCTGCTGTTACTGCTGCTGCTGCTGCTGCTACTGCTGTTGTTGTTGTTGTTGTTGTTGTTGTTGTTGTTGTTGTTGTTGAACACTATTACTTCTAAAGAATTATTATTGTTGGACCCCCTGGTGCACGCCCCCCGCCCAAAACCTAGGCCGCAGCTACATTTTCATCATTTTTCTGCGAAAGCTTCAGAAAAGTGGATTACCCCCGGATCCGGTTTTTTGTTGACGCTCGTTTTCCCTTGCAAAAAACAATAGAAAATGAAAATTCTTGTTCTTAGTTGATCAAATTTCAAGAATCCCTTGCAAAAAATAAGGTAAAGTGGACATTCGCGCTCGCAAGACGAAATCCTTCCAAAACCTTAGGTTTCGTAGCGATTTTAACATAAAAACATCAAAAACCCAATGGTTTTTTAAGAAAAAATTGTCAAAATGTCCTTCCGCGCGCTCTTGCGGATTCATAGGAAACACACCACTTTTTAAACATTTCTGTCAAAAGGGTCTTTGCGTGCTACTTCTTCAGGTGCTTTGAACTTCTCCAACAACGGTTGCGCGCCTGCGAGGGCCACCATCCCTTGCAAAAAATGAGACGAAGTGCACATGCGCGCGGCCGCCGCGCGCGCATGTCGAAATCCTGCCAAACACAATGGGTTTTCAATAATTTCAAGATGCGATGTTCAGAAAACATATGAAAACGCACTACTTTCTCATCCGAAAAATCTCGAAATCCATTCGCGGTCTCTTGATGAATCTTTAAAACCCAAGATGGCCCCAACAGGCGCGCAAGATGGCCCCAAGAGGCGTCCATGAGGCCCAAAGAGGCGCCCAAGATGGTCCCAAGAGGCTTCAAGAGGACTCCAAGAGGCCCCCAAGAGGTTCCAGAGAGGCTCCAAGGTGGCTCCAAGAGACCCCCAAGATGGCCCCAGGAGGCGTTCTAGAGGCCCCAAGAGTCCGCCGTGAGGGTCCAATAAGCCCCCAAGAGGCCCCAAGATGGTTCCAAGGAGCCCCCCAAAGGCTCTCAAGTGGACCCTAAACCGCGCCAGGAGGCTTCCCCCCTTCCCCAAGTTAGAGTAGGATCATAGCGCCATGAGTCTATGAGCAATGCATGCGTCATCCTTGGGACTGTATAACATCAGTGTAACACATGTACTTCTGTAATCGCATCCCCACGAATTTGCCCCAAAAATGTAACCAACTATCTTGGCACTGCGTACCATCTCACGTGTACCGTGTACCACATCATATGTAACAGATGTGATCAACCTCTGTGGGTGTGTACCCCACGCCAGTGTAGTAGCCAGGGTCGTCCGCACGCCACGAAGTGAAGTGTCCCAACGTCATAGGGCGGGAAGCTGGGTGTGGGTGGTCTCGAAGAGTCGTTTGGATATTTGGTAGAGCTTGAACGGCCCCCCCACGAAGTGGGGGTATTGGCTGGTGTCGCAAGAAAACCCTGGCACTGGGGAGAACACTGAGCGTTCGGGTAAAATGATTGTTGTTGTTGTTGTTGTTGTTGTTGTTGTTGTTGTTGTTGTTGTCGACTTTGGGGGGCCACCCGGGGGCTCCTCGTCGCCACGGCCCGATCCGCCTCGAAGTCCCAGTTTTGGACGCACTCCGAGAGGTCCGGGGGCGGAGGTCTGACCCCCCGGGCCCGACCTCCGCGCCGCGAGAAAACCAGCTCTCGGGGGCGGAAAAGAGGGGGGTGATGACTAGGGGGGGGTGGATATCATGGCGGGGGCCATGATCTTTCCACAGATTTCATGGCGCCGTTTCTTATTTCATTACGTCTTGAGTCTTTGGCCCCCCCGCTGGGCCGCGCACATGCCGCCGGTCACGATTTGCGCCCCCCCCTCTTGGACACCCCCCTCTTGGCCGCTCCCGAAGCTCGCGACCGGAGGTTTCTCGCCGTTTTCTGTGCGGCCTCCGGGCGCCTTCCTTCTCGGGTGGACCCAGAAGGGGGTCCAGCGACACGGGGGAGGTGCAACAGATTGAGTGCAACAGATTTGTGGGGTTGCAGCACATCTGGGGGCTTGCAACACACTCCAGGGCGTAAATGTTTTGTTGGACATATTCCCGTGCAGTACGGACCCCCTTGTGGGGCACCCGAACTTTCGCAGGGACCCGCCGGGCCGTCGAGGGACGGCCATCGGGGTGGGCAGGGTGTGCGGGGCCGGGCGGGCCGCCCAGACTCAGAGACCCCCGACGTCGTGTTTTTTTTTCGCAGCCACGACCCCCAGAATGATGGGCTTGTCTCCCACCACCACCACTATATGTTGGAGGGGGAGGGGGTCCTCCTCCTCCTTCTCCACTTCCTCCTCCTCCTCCTCCTCCTCCTCCTCTTCGTCCTCCTCCTCGTCCTCCACCTCCTCTCCCCCTCCAGCTTATGGTGGTGGTGGTGGTGGAAAACAGGCCCATCACAGAAGTCTGGACCCCCTCCCCGCGGGGCCCGCGTTGCATCCCGGGTCGCTTTTCGACGGTCCCTGGGCCCGGGGAGGGCCCTTTTTTTTTTTTCTCTCCAGGAAGCAGTTCCGAATATCTCTCCGCCCCTGCGCCGCTTAAAATGAATCCTCTGGTCTCTCGTGCGGTCCGTTGCACCTAATTGGCCTGGAGGCCGAACAAATACCGAAACACCGCCCGTCGTGTCTTTGCACGGCGCGAGGGGGTCTCGTGCGGTCCGTTGCACCGTTAGCCTGCAGGCCGAAAATAGCGAAAAGCCGCCCGTCGTGTCCTTGCGCGGCGCGAGGGGGTCTTTGGGGTGGGCGGGGCTGGGCGGGGCTGGGCGGGGGCGGGCGGGGCCGGGCGGGGCTGGGCAGGCCGGGGGGGGCCCGCGGGAGCGCTCTCAAGCGCTGCGGCGCCAGGCGGGGCGCCTGGTCGCTCTGGGCGGCGGGCGCCCGGCCGCGGCGGCCGCGGGCCGGCAGCTGGAGGCCCGGCTTGCCGCCGGGGGGGTCCATATCCTTGACCTTCCAGGAGGGCAAGAAATAGCAACAGGACGTCGACGTCCTAATTCCTGTCAAGTTTTGAGGCAGTCCAGATAGGTCTATAGGTCTGGAGTTCTATTTTTTAGCACTCTGGAAGGTCAGGGATGGTATCCGCCGCCTGGGTCAATCAGGGGCAACGATCAACGCCCGAAATGGGTCCGGAAAGAATGGGTACAATGCCCAACAGCAGTTCCTGTTCATTTTGAGCAGGACTCGCTGTCCACGCCGCCGCCGCCGGGGGGGTCCACATGTCGGGCCAGACGAAAGGGGGGGATTGGGGAAGGGGGGGTTACGACATCTGCTGCATGCAGCTGGTTTCGGCCCCACCGAGGGGCCCATTCCTCGAGATACAGTCGCCTCCCGGCGCCGGGAGGCGCCGGGGAAATCAGCTACGTGAGCTGATTCTCACCCCCCCCCTTTGCTATCCCCCCCTTTCGCCCGACCCGAATATGGCATCCGCCGCCTGGGTCAATCATCTGGGTACGGAAAGAAGGGGTACAATGCCCCACAGCAGTTCCTGTTCATTTTGAGCAGGACTCGCTGTCCACGCCGCCGCGGCCTGTGTCCATTCGAGACAGGAGGCCGCCCGTCCAACAGCGGCCGCTGTTGGTTTGGGACAACATGTGTTGTCGGGCATTGTACCCATCTTTTCCGTACCCATTTCGGGCGCCCAAAAATCAGCGGCAACGATCGGGGGGGTCTGCACCGACCCCCAATCGCCCATTGATCGCCGATAGGGGTCCGATAGCCCCCACCTGCCCAGGAACGTGCGGATTCATGATCGGGGGGCCTATCGCCCATCTGTCGGCGATGTATCGCCGAATCCAGGTCGATGCATCCCCCCCTATGCCAGTCCCCCCCCCTCGTTGCCTCTCAGTCAAGAGTGGCGAGCGTACCCGCGGGCGCGTGTCCGCGCCCTCACGGTCTGGATTCCGGGGCGCGATCCCCAGACTTCTCCGCGTTGTGAACGAAGTCACGACGGGAGGCTTTTCGCCATTTTCGGCCTCCGGGGGGCCCTCACCGGGCCCCGGACCGTCAAACATCAAATCGGAACGAGACACCGGTCCTGGGGAAGGGGTCCAGGCCTCTGGGGGGGTCGACGCTGTGAAAAAATCACGACGTCGGGGGTCTGGGATACGCGGTCGCTCGGATGCGCTCCGCCAGGGGCATTCGCGAAACAAAACGCCCGGTTTTCCCCGCGGGGCCGCGGCCCGGGGGCCCCGCCCGCAGGGCTGCGGATGCGGAGATGGCTGCGCCCCTGGGTGGCCCCCGGCGGGCGTGGCAGGTGTGGTGTGGAGCTGTCTGCCCGCCTCGCGGGCGGAGAAGTACAGCCGGGGCCCTGCAGAAGGAACCCTTCTCGTTGGGGAGGGGCTCGGTGTTCCTTAATTGTTTCGCAGCTTGCCTTAGATTCTCCTTACGGTTTCGATGCGAAATCGAAGTTTAACCTTTGGAAAATAGGGGCCTCGTTCCTTATTTAGGGTTCCTTAGGTCAACGCCCCGACTGTACCTCCTGAGACTCGGACGTTGCAATCTTCTGTTCGCTTGCTCGCCTTCGCCCAGTTTTTCGGGCCCACTGGGCCATCACCGGTCGATCCAGCTCGAAAACTGCAGCAGACCTGCAGGGCCCAGGGCTCCACGCGTGTTTTTTTCGCGGTGCTGGCCTCCAGGCACCCGACGAGGTGTTTTGTTTTCAACTGGCCCTCAGGCACCCGACGAGGCGCTTCTTTTCCACTCCGCGGCCCCAGGGAGGTCCCGGCCCCTTCCACGGGAGTGCTCAGCTCCTCGTCAGGGGCCCGCTCTCTTCGTCGGGCCCGCGGGTCGCGATAACGGTCCCCATGGGGCCGGAGACGAGGAGAAGTGCCCGGATTGGAAGAATCATGTTCCTGAGGCCAGACGTTGCAACAAAATTTGCGACATCTTGGGGAATCGCGACCGGAGCCCCAGACCTTCTCTTTCTGCGGGGGTTTTCCAGCCAGACCGATCTGCGGTGGTCCTGGGGCCCGAAGCCAGCCGAAAATGCTCAGTATGGACCAATTGAAGCGTCTGGGTCTCAGGGGTCGTCCCCAGACATGCGATGTCCTGATTTTTCAGTGCGGGGTCCCAGATGTCCCGACCCTTTCCCCAGGGCGGGTTTGTCGTCCCGAGTCGTCGCTTGAGGGCCCCAGAAGCCGAAAAAGGGCAAACACCTCCCGTCATGATTTCTCCGACGACGCGAGGATGTCGGGTTCTCCGACGACGCGAGGATGTCGGGGCCCGGGGGTGAAGCCTCCCTCCCTGGAGCTGCCTCGTTGCGAGCTCTGACTGGCGTTTCGAGGCGGACCCAGACCCCCTTTGTGGTGTTTTTGTTCGAAGAAGATGGTGTCTGGGAGCACCTTGACTATGAGGTAGCCCCAGCACAGAAAGTCTACATCGGGCGCAGGCGCTCGTTCGGCTCCAGCTGCAAGACCTCGATGGCAAACTCGCGAGCGGCCTTCGTCATTGTAGCCCTCCTCCGGGACCACGTTTTCTTGTCCCGAGCCGTCTTTCGACGGCCCCGTCGCTCCCGGGGAGGGCCCCCGCAGGCCGATACTGTAGTGGCGAAACGCCTCCCGTCGTGAGTTCTTTCGCAGCGCGAGGAGGTCTGGGGATCCGCAGCCGTGGCGACGAGAGCGCCCCGCGAAGCCTTCCGTCGCGATTTTTTCGCAGCGGGAGGAGGTCTGGGGACTCACAGCCGTGGCGGCGAGAGAGCGCCCCGCGCAGCCTTCGGGGCGCCCACGAGCGGCCTCGAGCCTCGGCATCCCCCCCGCCCCCCGGGGGGTCGTCGGAGATCTGGGCCCCGTCGCCCGCTGGGGGGGCCTGGGAGCGGCGGGGCTCCCCTTGGCATCGCTCGGGCGTGTGCATGTTTCCTTCGGCGAGGACCATCGAGGAGCATCCTTGATCATTTGGCGGAAAAGCCACGCACGAACCCCCAAAAAAAACACAGGGAATGGACGTCCGAGCGATGGCCAGTCCGTGCATCTCAAGGGCGAAGAGAGGACGTACACGCACGCGAGGGCACGTGGATGTCGAGAGCCTCGACCGGCTCGCGCTGTGACAAAACCACGACGGCGAGGTTTTCGCTATATGTTCGGCCTCCGGGGGGGCCCTCGCCGGGCCCAGGGACCGTCAAGAAGGACTCGGGATGAAGCACGGGTCCTGGGGAAGGGGTCCAGACTTCTAGGGGTCGTGGTTGCGAAAAAATCACGACGTCGGCGGCCTGGGAGTACGCATTGCGCGAACGGTCGTATCACGCGGCCGGTCTCGCGGACTGGGGAGCCGTGTTCGTGTGCGTGGGTGGGCGCGTGCATCCTCCGAGGGGCTCCCTGGCATCAAGAGGGAAGAAAACACACAGACACAACGAGTCGTCGATCCCCAGGAGAAGAGGGGACGACGAGAGTTCAGAACACACGATCGAAGAAACATTGGGGATCCTGGATTTTGTGCCCGTTCACGCGTGTGTCCCTGGGCCCCTTCGGTGTAGCCCGCGGAGCTGCAGAAGCCCTCCGCCGGCGGCGGGGGGCTCAGTTTGGAACATTTTTTGGGGCACCAGGACTCACTAACTATCCGATTCCCCTCCCGTCTCTGGCCGACTGGCCGACTCCCGTCTCTGGCCGACTGGCCGACTCCCCGACTTCCCGACTGGCCGACCTTCCGCTTGGGGAGTCGGAAAGCTCACTCCGGTGCCGCACAACTTCTGCTTCTCGCCCGGGGAGGCCGACGGCCGCTTCCGCATGCTCGGCGCGTCGCCGGCCGCCATCGGGGAGAGCCGCGAGAGGGCCGCGCGGGCAGGGGCGCTGGGGCGCCCCCAGGCCCAGACCCAAACGTGATCGCGTCGTGGAGCAGGGGAGGAGGAGGAGGAGGAGGAGGGAGGAGGGAGGAGGGGAGGGAGGAGGGAGGAGGGAGGAGGGGAGGAGGAGGAGGAGGAGGAGGAGGAGGAGGAGGAGGAGGAGGAGGAGGAGGAGGAGGGAGGAGGAGGAGGAGGAGGCGGAGGAGGAGGAGGAGGAGGAGGAGGAGGAGGAGGAGGAGGAGGAGGAGGAGGAGGAGGAGGAGGAGGAGGAGGAGGAGGAGGAGGAGGAGGAGGAGTAGGAGGAGGAGGAGGAGTAGGAGTAGGAGTAGGAGTAGGAGTAGTAGTAGTAGTAGTAGTAGGAGGAGGAGGAGGAGGAGGAGGAGGAGGAGGAGGAGGAGGAGGAGGAGGAGGAGGGAGGAGGAGGAGGAGGAGGAGGAGGAGGAGGCCCAGATTTGATCGCGTCGCGGAGCGAAGCATCACGGCGGGAGGTCGGCGGCCGTGGTCGGCCTCTGGGCTCCTTGCCGGGCCCTGGGGCCGTACAGTCAACCCGCACAGTAAGGATGATGGCTCTGCGCGCACGAGATGGGCATGGAAAGAATGGGTACGATGCCCAACAGCGGATCTTTTTCGTTTTGAACAGGACTCGCTGTCCACGCCGCCGCGGCCTGTGTCCATTCGAGACAGAAGGCCGCCTGCCCAACAGCGGCCGCTGTTGGTTTGGGACAACATTTGCTGTTGGGCATTGTGCCCATTCTTTCCGTACCCATTTCGGGCGTCCAAAATGGCAACCTTTCCAACGGTACCCTTGAATCCTTGCCTCCTCGGTCCATCCTTGAATCCTCACGTGTAGTGCCACCCGTGTTCTGTTGCTCCCTGCTTCGAAAAGGGGTCCAGGGGCATGGAGTGCTCGGCATGGTGCAACCAAGAGGTTGCATTTGGGACGCGTCTTTTTCCTCATCTGTGGTGTCGTGCGAATATCGTGCGCTGGAACAAATCCTTGGCCACTTTCGTTGGCCGTGCCCCGCTCGAGAAGCTTCGACATGGACCTCCGAGGCCCTCGCATCCTCACCGCGCACCCTTCTGATACGGGTCGGCTGTAAAAGCAGAACGGCGCAGCATGGAACCCCGGCCCAATGGGGGAGGATCGGGACTCCCGGGGGACCCCGCCCTGGAAAACAGCAGGCCGCGCCGCATGTCCGGGGCGCCCACGGTCCCAGCCGTGGGGCGCCCCGGAAGAGTCCAAGGCTCGTCGCGGGGCGGAGGGGGGGCATTATTACAGGACGCTTGAGATTGTGGTTGGGTCGGGCCTGTCCCTCTACAGGGGGAATATTCAAAACAGTGAAACAATAGTCCGGGGACGATAAAAACCATTTTGTCCTTTTTTTTAAAAACAAATTGTCCTCCAAACCATTATTCAGCCACGCGCAGAGGGGGGTGAGGGGAGGGGGGAGGGCTTCTTAGGAGCACCCCTGCTTCTTAGAGGGCGCGGGCCTTATATCTATAGATGTGAGGCCGGCGCCCTCTGAGAAGCAGCCTCCTTCTAAGAAGCCCTCCCCCCCTCCCTCCACCCCCTTGTGCGCGCCGCCGAATGATAGGACGCTTGAGATTGTTCACCACCTACCAAACCACCCCAACCCAACCCGAAGGCTCAGATTTGCCCTCCATTTCCAGTGGGGCGGTCGCGGAACATCGAAAAAACACGTATGGAACCCTTACCCCCCCCAACCCGAAATTCGGGTCTTCGGGTTGGGTTGGGGTGGTCTGGTAGGTAGTCAATTGTGGCGTCGCAGTTTGTTCGAGCCGGGCGTTCGCGCTCGGCTTCGGGCGCGGGGGCCTCACGGATCGACGGGCGCCTCGGAGAAGTCCGAGGCTCGTCATGGGGCGGAGGGGGGGCATTATCACAGGACGCTTGAGGTTATGGTTGAGTCGGGCCTGTCCCTCTACAGGGGTAAGATTCAAAAACAGTAAAAAAAATAGTCTGGGGACGATTTCCTTTCAATACCATTTCTGAGCGTTTTGGAGTATTTTTTTTTTACATTTTTTTATTTTCCCCCCAAAATCCCCCTGTATGGGGGACACGCCCGACTTAGGATTGTGGCGTCGCAAGTTGTTCGAGCCGGGCGTTCACGCTCGGCTTCGGGCGCGGGGGCCTCACAGGTCGGTGCGGCTCGAACAGGGGCGCGAAAAGGATGGGTTCGGGGTCTCGCTCGGCCGTGCCTGTCTGCGATGTTTTTTTTTTGTGGTTCACGCCGTCGGGTCTCAGGGACCGCTGGGCTGAGGGCGTCGTCCCTGGCCTCCCCGCATGGCCGACCTCGACCCCCCTAGCATTAAGTCGGGCCTGTCCCCCATACAGGGGGATTTTCGACGAAAAGTTGAACATGCCCCCAAAATAGTCCAGAAATAATCCGAAAATAGTCTGGAGACTATTTTTTGAATACTTTTTGACCTGTTTGGGGTATTTTTGGGGTATGTTTAATTTTTCGTCGAAAATCCCCCTGTAGGGGGACACGCCCGACATAACCCTAGCAGTGAGGACCCGCGCGCGGTATTTGAGAACGGGCGGCCGTGCGCAGGTCATCATCGCTGGGGCATCGGGACCGGCACTGGGCGATCGCCAGGGGCGGTTTCCTCAACCCAGTGGCTGTGGGTCGAGTTTCTCTCTCGATCTGTACGCGAGTCATCCTCGCCGACGCTGACCACTGCTTGGGGATCGGACCCCAGCCGCCTTCTCGACAGGAGCCATAAGAAACCAGCGAGATCTGGATGAGGAGAAGAACAACAAAAAGTGGTTTTGTGGGTCGAGTCGGGCGGGGCTAGGTCCCAGGTAGATCGTTCCAAAGAGTTCCAAAGCGCTCTCAGAGCGCTCTCTGGATCGCTCTGGAACGGCCGCTGCGCCCTTTACATCCCTCAGCACCGCTGGCCCTCGGAGATCCCCGAGTTGCCCTGGTCCGATTTTGTCCTAGTCCTTGGGTCCCGGACTTCGGTAGCAAACACTGGGAGCCTGGCATACCCTTTCATCAATCCTGCCCTTTAGCGTCGATCAGCGTCGATTGGCGTCTGGGAGTCGATCCACGTGGTGCCGATCTGGCGTCGGCCAGCATGGATTCGCGTCGATCTGCGGTCGACCAGCGTCGATTCCGCGAGAGCCGACAAGATAATACGGGAGGCTCCCATGCAAGATGGTATTGGGGACTCCCACGAGTTGCCACAGGACCAGACCTGGATGCCTGCACTTTTCTACGGGGCCCCCGGAAGTCCGGGGCTGGCTTTTCGTCCGGATCTGTTTTTTGGGGGGGCGGCCTCCGGGGCCCAGCAAGGGGGCCCCCAGAGGCCGAGCACGGCGCGAGCCTCCCGTCGCGGTCTTTCCACGGCGCGGCTGTCGAGGGAAGCAGGCGCGGTCAAAACTCATCGTAGGGGCGCACGGATGCCCTGAGGGTGCCCCTGCATCCTTGCCTCTGCGGCCCGCCCTTCGCGGTGTCCACTGGCCAGCCCTTCAGGATGTTGGCAGTCCGCGGAGACAACTGGGCTCTTCTTGGGCCCAAGCCGCTGGGCTTCAAGCCTCCTCTCAGTCGACGGCGAGTCTGGTAGGAGGAAGTCCAAGTGGGACCCAGGGGCTCCATCTGGTGGGCCTCCAGCTGCCCTCGACATCATTGCGCCGTGAAGAAACCATTACGGGAGTCTTTTGTTTTTCCTTTTCTTCCTCCCACCTCCTCAACCATCCTTTGGTGTTGGGCCCTTGTTTTGGTGTTTGGTCCTCCCGCTCCTCCCTCCTCTCTCCTCCCTCCTCCCCCTCCTCCCTCCTCCGCAGTTCGTCTCTCCCACCCAGGGCAGCGTTTCGTGACAGGGAGCTCCACCAAAGGTCTCAGTGGCGGAACTTGTATGCGGTTCCTGTGCCCAATGCGGTGTCTCGTAGCCCCCTAGGGAGCTCCACCGAAGGTCCCAGTGGCGGAACTCGCATGCGGTTCCTGCGCCCAGTGCGGTGTTTCGTGGCCCCATAGGGAGTTCCACCGAATGTCCCAGTGGCGGAACTCGCATGCGGTTCCTGTGCCCAGTGCAGCGCTTCTTGGCCCCATAGGGAGCTCCACCGAAGGTGACAGTGGCGGAACTCGCATGCGGTTCCTGCGCCCATTGCAGCGTTTCATGGCCCCATGGGGAGCTCCACCGAAGGTCCCAGTGGCGGAACTCGCATGCGGTTCCTGCGACCAGTGCAGCGTTTCGTGGCCCCATGGGGAGCTCCACCGAAGGTCCCAGCGGTGGAACTCGCATGCGGTTCCTGTGCCCAGTGTAGCGTTTCGTGGCCCCGTAGGGAGCTCCACCGACGATCCCAGTGGCGGAACTCGCATTGCGGCGCACCACTCACATTTCTCGCGGCCCCGTAGTGCGTTCCGCCTAAAGCACAAGTGGCAGCGCCCATATGGCGGCCCCGCCCGCATATCTTTCGTATGCTTCATGGCCCCATGAGGAGATCCCCCGACGGCGACACCCGAAACGACGGTACTCACAACTGCATGTGGCTCGGTCCTTCGCCAAGCTGTATCTATATATATATATATATATATATGTATATATATATATATATATATATATATATGTATAACACATTTTTCTGCCACGAGGGGCCCTCACCTGGCACCGGGACCGTCACAAACGAGTCAGGACGAAAGAGCCGGTCTCCAGGAAGGGGCCGAGACCTTCGCGGAGACTTTTTTGATCCGCGGGTCGAGAGCGCACCTCTTCCGGTCGAAGCTAAGCGTGCCGCGCACAGCTTGAATTAGCGAGAGGGAGGCAGCAGGAGGGGCCTCACATCACGTTCGCGGAGACACGCTGTGAACAAGCCACGGCGCCGGACGTTTGGGTGGAAGGGGCCTCTCCTGGGCGCGCTTTGCGCGCCAGGCGTGGGGTGCGGGGCCGGAGGCCTGACGCCGTCGGTGGACCGTCCGCGGACGGCCGAGAGTTTCGTGCCTTCGTGGCCGTCTGGCTCTCCCGGCCCATGCCGAGGGACCTGCCAGGGCCGCTGGCCGGGGTGCTGATTGACCTCTCCGTGCCCTCGGAGGAGGATCGAAGGAGGATAATTCAAGCAGTGGCGAAGCGTCTTGGCTCGCCTATAGCCCCACCAAACAATGTTCTGAGAACCTTCTGTGGTTTCCACGAAATGTTCTTAGAACATTTCTGGCTGGGACTGTCTTGTTCTAACACATCGGGAATAGCTCCTAAGAACATGGTTTTTGCTCTTAGAACGTCTTTGGGTACTAAGAACATTTCGTGGTAGGACTATAGGAATGCCGGGACGGTCGGTCCCTGCTCAAGGATCGAAGGAGGATAATCGCACACAGCCAACCGCAGCGATTCGGAGCTGGGCGCGCGGATTTCTCGGAGCTGCGCCGGGGGCCCTGGCGGCGTCTCCCGCGCCGCCCCCGGCGCGCTCCGCGCGCGGGGGAGGGGGGCCCCGCGCCGATCCGAGAAATCCGCGCGGGGCTCTGGCAGACCGTGCTTCTGCCTCTTTTCTTCTCGTCTCTTCTCTTCTTTTCTCTCTCTCCTCTTCTCTCCTCTCCTCTCTCTCCTCTCCTCTCCTCTCCTCTCCTCTCTCCTCTCTCTCCTCTCCTCTCCTCTCTCTCTCCTCCTACTCTTCTCTCCTCTCCTCTTCTCTCTCGTCTCTTCTCTTCTCTCTCTTCTCTTCTATTCTCTTCTCTTCTCTTCTCTTCTCTTCGCTTTCGCTTCGCTTCTCTTCTCTTCTCTTCTTCTCTTCTCTTCTCTTCTTCTTCTCTCTTCTCTTCTCTTCTCTTCTCTCTTCTCTTCTCTTCTCTTCTCTTCTCTTCTCTTCTCTCTTCTCTTCTCTTCTCTTCTCTCTCTTCTCTTCTCTTCTCTTCTCTTCTCTTCTCGTCCTCCTCCTCTTGTCCTCCTCCTCTTCCTCCTCTTCCTCCTCTTTCTCCTCTTTCTTTCTCTTCCTCTCCTCCTCCTCCTCCTCCTCCTCCTCTCGTCCTCCTCCTCCTCCTCCTCCTCCTCCTCCTCCTCCTCCTCCTCCTCCTCCCGATGCTTGCGCAGCCTCTGCTTCCCCCAGAGGAGGAGGACCCGGACGAGGCCCTGGACCTGCGGAGCGACCGGGCCGTCGGGGTCCCCGCGTGGGAGTGGCTGCGGAGCGCGTCCGCCGCCGAGCTGGCGTGGGTGCTCGACGAGTTCGGGGGCCTGCACGACCCGCTGGTGGCGGAGCTCGGGGGCAACGTGTAGGGTCGGGACGACCGACATGGGCACGGAAAGAATGGGTACAATGCCCAACAGCAGTTCCTGTTCATTTTGAACAGGATTCGCTGTCCGCGCCGCCGCGGCCTGTGTCCATTCGAGACAGAAGGCCGCCTGCCCAACAGCGGCCGCTGTTGGTTTGGGACAACATTTGCTGTTGGGCATTGTACTCATTCTTTCCGTGCCCATTTCGGGCGTTCAAAAGCTCGGGGGCAACGTGTATGGGGGGGGGATTGGCTCAGGGCGCCTTGAGGTGAGGCTTCGGGCTCGGGTGCAGGCTCTCGGGAGCTGTCATCGCTTCTCGGCGATCCTCCCGCCTCGGGGTGCTCTTCAGCAGCTGCGCCTCGCCGGGAGCGTTCCAGGGGTGTCCCGATCGTCCCGAAGGGCCGCCAGAGAGCCGAGTCATGACCAACAAAAATTCGGGGCAACGTGAGGGGGGGGATAGGCCCAGGGGGAGATGCATCGACCCCCAATCGCCCATTCATCGCCAATTGCGGCCCGATAGTCCGCCCCGACCAGAAACGCGTGCGGATTCGCCATCGGTGGCCTATCGCCGATGCATCGGCGAGGCATCTCGCCTATCGGCGAGGCATCGCCGATCCCAGGTCGATACTTTCCCTCCTGAGCCTGTCCTCCCATACAGTCGGGGTGCTGAAGAAGGAACCCTTTTCGTTGGGGAGGGGCTCGGTGTTCCTTGATTGTTTTTCTGTTTGCCTTGGGTGTTCCTTAAGTTTTCCATCGGAAGGCGAAGTTTAACGTATGGGAAAAAGCGGCCTCGTTACTCACACAGAGTTCCTTTGATCAACGCCCCGACTGTACCTAGGCCCATCTTTTCATCGAGGGGGCCCTCAGAGCTTTGGGCCCTTCCCCCAGAGCCGGCTGCTCGTCCCGAGCCGTGCTCTGACAGCCTGCCCTGCAAGGGCCCCCCGATGCCGAGAGCAGGGAACAACACCTCCAGGCCTGCTTCTCTTCGCGACGCGGTGATGTCGGGGCCGGGGGGGGGTAAGCATCGATCCCTGGACCCGTCTCGGGGCGGCGGCCTGCAGCCGTGGCCGCGAGAGGGAGCGCCCCGGGAAGCCCCGAAGCGCCCCCCCACAGCCTCGAGCCTTTTGCTGTCTGGGAAAACCCTTCCGCCGTTCTTCACCACTCACCAAACCACCCCAACCCAACCCGAAGGCTCAGATTTACCCTCGATTTCCAGGGGGGGGGGGGTCGGGAAACATTGAAAAAACACATGTGGAACCCTTACCCCCCCAACCCGAAATTCGGGTCTTCGCGTTGGGTTGGGGTGGTCTGGTAGGCAGTCAGTTCTTTTGCTTCACGGCGCGAGGCCGTCGAGGCACCGCTGCCCCTCGCAGGAGCGGCTGGCGCAGGCGGTGCTCTGCCACGGCCGGGCCTGCGGGCCGCGCGGCGCGTCCCGGCGCCAGCTGGCGCAGCTGTGGGAGAGGCTGGGGCCCGAGCTGGAGCTGGAGCACCCGCACCTGCGGCTGGGGCAGCTCCTGCGGGCCGTGCGCGCCTTCGTCAACCAGGACCGGCTCGGAGGAGCCAGAAGTCCAAGGGCGCCCTCGAGGGCGCGGAGTTGTTCGCGCTTTGCGCTTCGCGGTTCGGCTCCGGTTCCTCCTCTTCCTCCTCTTCTCCCCTGGGAGGCGGCGCGAGAGCGCGAAGTGATTCGCACTTCGCGCTTCGCGCAGCGCGAAGCGCGAAGCTGGGAGCCCTTGAAGTCATGGTGACCATTCTGGTTGACCCAGAAGGGGGTCCAGCTGAGAGGGGGCTGTGCGACAGATTTGGTGTCATAGATTTGCGGGGTTGCAGCAGATCAGGGGCGCGCAGTGCATTCTGGTGCGCAGATGGATTGCCGGGTTCTCGCGTGCAGTGCACTGGCTGCAATACAATGCAGTGCAACTCTCTTGCGCAATGCATTCACAACACTATCGCCCCACATCTGCTGCACCACCCCCTTGCAGCTGGACCCCCTTTTGTGTCAACTAAAACCATCGCCCCCGCAGTTGTGGACAAGAGTGAGGGGGCGGCGGGGTCGTCGGCAGTCTGCGATGCTCCGAAGAAGCCCGGCCGCAGGCGCCGATTATTTACACATCACGCAACGAGCCCGCCGCAGGCGCCGCATTCTCGTCAAAGCAATGTGGGTGGGTCGCGGGTGGGTCGCGGGGGGGGGGAGCGAGGGGGCCAAACGTCATTTCACCATCCCTGGGTGCGTGGGTGAATAGAGCCCCCCCCCCAAAACGGTGTGACCACACCGCGAGAAGGGTTGGTCACTGCACGGTCCGTTACCGCACGGTCTTGGGACCTCAGAGGCCCCAGTCGCCCAAGACATCCTCGGAGAAAGACTCGACTCCCCACGCCGTGCGGTGACCCCGAGTCCCCACTGGCTGCCCGAGTGGTCACCACACCGCTCTGGGGCCCTCCGAGTCACCCACGCGCCCAGGGACGGTGTGTGAGCGCTCGGCCTCTCCCCCCCCCCTCGCCGAGCGACTCCCCAGCGACTCACCCCGCGACCCACCCCGCGACCCACCCCGCGACCCACCCCGCGACCCACCCCGCGCACGCCCCCTCACTCTTTACCCGCAATTGTGGGGTGCTGCCTGGTGGTAGAGCCAATATTCGAACAAAAACGGTCGTGTGTGTCGCTCGTGTGTGTGTGTGTGAGTGTGTGTGTGTGTGTGTGGGCGTGTGTGGCCGGCCCGCTTGGCCCTCCGCCCGCGGGACGGCGGCCGCCGCTCCGCGGCGCTGCGCGGCGCTCCGCGGCGCCGCCTGGCGCAACAAAAATTAGCCTGACGAAAGACCCAACCATAAGTAGTTGTGAATACCGCAATTGTGGATATATTCTTCGGTGGCGCTCCCTATGGGGCCACGAACCGCATGAAGGGCGTGCCGAAATGTGTGGCGGGGGCACACAACGCGAAGGAAAATTATATTTCTGATTACGAGAGACTGAACGCGGATGAATCTGAACGCGAGTGCGTCTGTTTGTGAATGGGCGAGTCTACGCTCATGAATGGGAGCATGACCAAGCTCAGTGTACTTTCTTTTATGAATGTGAACGGTTTGAGTATAACTGGTTCTGAGTACTTGTGAAATTGACTGTGGCCGCCGCGAGGAGCCCCCCCCAGAAATGCCAATGGCAGCGCCCGCACGCCGCGACACCCGTGTCGGCGCGCCCCTCACGAGGATAGCGCCCGCTTTTCTTATTTTCCTTTCTCTTTGCCCGCGCACTCCAAAGTCCTAGGCCGCGGGCGCAACGCAGCGCGGAGTCCCCGCGACGCGCGCAGGTCGCCGCGGAGGGGTCCCAGCGACGCGCGCGGGTCGTCCGCTGCGCGGAGCACAGAGAGCTAGCCGGCTGGCTGATTGCGGGCAAGGCTCCGGCCGCTGGGCAGAGCGACGACGGGCGAGCGAGGCGCTGGGCAGAGCGCCGCACGGAATCCCCGCGACGCGCGCTGGTCGCCCCGGAAGGGTCCCAGCGACGCGCGCGGGTCGTCCGCAGCGCGAAGCCAGACAAGTAGTTGGACAGTCGAGAGAAGGCGCGGCTCGGGGGGGACGCTCCTCAGGTCAGGCCTCGCGGATAAACTCGGTGAAGCCGAGCTCCCTGGCGAGGGCCGTCGCCTCCCTCCTGCACCGTTTCGTGCGCGCCGCAAACTGCTCCAGATGCCTCCGCAAGCCCTCCGGCGGCCCTGCCAGGAAGAACTCGATGCGCGGCGCCCGCATGAGCAGGAGGTCCTCGTGGCGCGTGGCGCGCGAGAGCAGCACATAGAGCTCCAGCCACCAGTCGTCGTCCTCCTTCTTGCCGTTCCCGACCTCGTGGCGGCCGCAGTCCAGGATCACGCCTGGGCGACGTCGGCCGAGGGAGCAGTGCGCCGGGCAGCCGACGGCCCAGGGCGAGAGTCCGCAGGACCGAGGTCTGGCCGCGGACTGCTCGCGCCCCGGAGGTCTGGTCGTCCCCGGAGCGCCGTTCCCCCGCCCCGTCGCCTTTTCGCATGGTGCGCCCCTGGCGCCGTGCGAGAACGGGAAGCCCGTCCGGGTGACCTTGGAGGTGCGGAAGGTGAACGGCTCCGACGTGCGGGGCTCGATGAACACCAGCGGGCCCGCGAGGTCCATCGTGAGGCTGTCGTCGTGGCGCTGCAGGTCGTCCACGAAGGGCGCGCTCGCGTACTTCTCCATGCGCACCCAGAACCCCAGCGGCAAGCGCCTCAGGTAGATATTCTTCCCCCCGTCTCTCTCTGCTCTCTCGACGTCGTCCCGATCCCGAGGGTCCACGACGACGTGTGAGGGGTGTGCCGAAATGGGGGGTGGAACCGCGTGCGAGCGCAGCCACTGGGGCGTTCGGTGGAGCTCCCTGTGGGGCCACGAAACGTGTGAGGGGTGTGCCGAAAAGAGGGGTGGAACCGCATGCGAGCGCAGCCACTGGGGCGTTTCGGTGGAGCTCTCTATGGGGCCACGAAACGAGTGAGGGGTGTGCCGAAATGGGGGGGGGTGGAACCGCATGCGAGCGCAGCCACTGGGGCGTTCGGTGGAGCTCCCTATGGGGCCACGAAACGTGTGAGGGGTGTGCGAGAATGGGGGGTGGAACCGCATGCGAGCGCAGCCACTGGGGCGTTCGGTGGAGCTCCCTATGGAGCCCCGAAACGTGTGAGGGGTGTGCCAGAATGAGGGGTGGAACCGCAGGCGAGCGCAGCCACTGGGGCCTTCGGTGGAGCTCCCTATGGGGCCACGAAGCGTGTGCCAGAATGGGGGGGGGGGAACAGCATGCGCGCAGCCACTGGGGCGTTCGGTGGAGCTCCCTATGGGGCCACGAAACGAGTGAGGGGTGTGCGAGAATGGGGGGTGGAACCGCATGCGAGCGCAGCCACTGGGGCGTTCGGTGGAGCTCCCTATGGAGCCCCGAAACGTGTGAGGGGTGTGCCAGAATGAGGGGTGGAACCGCAGGCGAGCGCAGCCACTGGGGCCTTCGGTGGAGCTCTCTATGAGGCCACGAAACGTGTGAGGGGTGTGCCGAAAAGAGGGGTGGAACCGCATGCGAGCGCAGACGCTGGGGCCTTCGGTGGAGCTCTCTATGGGGCCACGAAACGAGTGAGGGGTGTGCCGAAATGGGAGGGGGTGGAACAGCATGCGAGCGCAGCCACTGGGGCGTTCGGTGGAGCTCCCTATGGGGCCACGAAACGAGTGAGGGGTGTGCGAGAATGGGGGGTGGAACTGCATGCGAGCGCAGCCACTGGGGCGTTCGGTGGAGCTCCCTATGGGGCCACGAAGCGTGTGAGGGGTGTGCCAGCATGGGGGGCGGAACCGCATGCGAGCGCAGACGCTGGGGCCTTCGGTTGAGCTCCCTTTGGGGCCACGAAACGAGTGAGGGGTGTGCCGAAATGGGTGCAGGGGACGCATGCTGCTGCTGCTGCTGATGATGATGATGAGGATGATGATGATGATGATGATGATGATGATGATGATGATGATGGTGGTAATGGTGATGGTGATGATGCGGAGGATGATGAAGATTATGATGATGATGATGGTGATGATGATGATGATGATGCTGATGATGCTGATTATGATGATGCTGATGATGATGATGAGGAGGATGACAATGATGATGATGATGATGATGATGGCGATAACGGCGATGATGATGGCGATGATGGTGATGATGACGATGATGACGATGATGGCGACGACGATGATGACGATGATGACGATGACGACGATGATGGTGATGATGATGACGAGGATGATGATGACGGAGGAGGGAGGAGGGGGGAGGAGGAGAGGAGAGGAGGACGCGGGGCACCGTCTCGTCAAAATGAGGACCCTGCACCACAGGATGGTTGGGAAAAATTGTGGTAGTGCCAAGATTCCCAGGATGACCTCCGCACCAAAACAAAAGGCATAAGAAAAACAGTTCCAGATTTTCCGCGATTCTCTGTTGCTCCGCACGGGCGTCAGGAACGGGAGCCGCCAGATGCTCCGGAATTCCTGGAAGGTGTCCTGGGCCAGTCGCATCATGGCATCATTCCCGTCCTATTGTTAAGTCGGGCATGTCCCTTTACATGAGGAGTACTCGAGAGTAGTAAGAGACGTAGTATGGGGGCGATTTTCTTACCATTTATGATCATTTTTGAGTTCTTTGACATCTCTGATTTTTCCTCCAAAATCCCATCTGTAGGAGGACATGCCCGACCTAATCCTAGTGGCAGCGCGCGCAAGGGGGGTGGGCGCGAGGGAGGGGGCGGCCTTCCGAGAAGAGGCGACGGGGCCTCTCAGAAGACGAGGTTCCAGGGGGGGCCTCTTGGAATGCCTGGGCCCCTCTTCGATCTCCGACGACGGTCCCCCCACATCAGCACCTGCACTGAAGGGGTCCTGGCGGAGGTTGCAGGGTGTGGCGAAGTTCCCGGCCGCTTTCGGTGGGGGGGCCAGGTTTCGGGCGAAGGGAACTATGCACATGCACCGATCCCGGCAAGGCCCGTCCTTGACCCAGGATCGGTGCATATACCTTCCTGGCCAAGGTAGGAGGGCGTATGCACCG